CTCTCTCTCTCTCTCTCTCTCTCTCTCTCTCTCTCTCTCTCTCTCTCTCTCTCTCTCTCTCTCTCTCTCTCTCTCTCTCTCTCTCTCTTCCACGGCGACCCTGAACATGTCTCTGAGCACAATGTGATGGACATCCTGCCTCTTCCGCTGTCCCAAAGGCATCTCCAAATCGTCAGTCCCCGAGGATTGCGGGCCATGTGCAAAAGCAGCAGGGCGTGGTCTTCTGTCCCTAACATCCTCCTCTAAGATGCGGCCCGCCGTTCCTATATCCGGCGGGTGGGTCGGAAGAGGATCTACAGTTGTCGAAGGGTTCAGCGCACGTGCCCCATCACCACCGGTCCCCGTCCGCTGTGTCGATGCACCTGTCACGCGGCCGTTGCGCTGTGTCGAAGGACCGGCCCTTATACTGTCCAAAAGTGATCCACCAATCTCGTCCCTACCCCAACCTGCTGTATTTACCACAATATCTGCCCCTCGCGGCAACGGTGGAGGTCCCGTAGATGCAGGTATAACAACTAATTATGGCTGCATGTCTCGCATCGCTTGAGTGACCTTCCTCACAAAGCCTAATCCATGAGGCCGGGTCTTCATCCGCGACTGCGGAGAAAGACTATCTAAACCTCTACCCTCCAACTGTCGTGTCCCTGGTCCGGATGAATGACCCTCTGATCCACCACACCCACTATCCCATGACCTCGTATTTGCCGCGCATGCGGCCCTGATGCTCTCCATCTACTCCACAAGATCCCAAGGGGGGGGGTGACGCCTGTCATGGAAGAGGGCACAAACGGGCTACACGATGCATACGGTGGGGGTTCTCCCAAAGCTCTCCTGCTGGAATCCTCCATCCGCCCCCACCGATTTGCCGCCAGAGGATCCTCTCTCCCATTGCACTCCAAAACTGCAGCGGACATAGTGCCACCTAAGGGCAACACACAAATACCCTCCACAAGCGCGCCACGGAGGGTGGCGACCTCTGAATCGGCTGGCTGCTTGCCAGTTCCCTCAACTGCATACCGCCGCATCTTTGCAGCAGACGCACTAACTCCTCCTGCATCCTCCTGATACCCTCCACTGATGGTCTGTCTGTCCTCCTCGCATGCATCATGCTGACCGACTGCATCCGATCCTCCGTGAGGTGCATCCCCTCCACCGACAGCCCCATCACCACCTCCCTCCACATCGTTATCCTCTCCGCGAATGGGGTCAAGTCCCGGTCTGCAAACTCGGCCATCACCCTGCGCGGGTCGGGGGTCCTCCCCCTCCTGAACCTCCTCAACACCATGTGTCCGCTCCCTCGTACCGCAGGTCTCACGAAGGTCCGTCTCGGCGACGCGTGTGACTTCCGTCTCGAGGTCGCGAGCAGCATCCAAGCTCGCTCTGATATCTTGTATCACAGGGCAGGACTGAGCAAGCGCCAGCGTTCGCTGTCTCTCCTCTCGGTCCCTCCTGTCCACATCCGTCTCGACGTCCATCTCCTGCATAGATGGAAAACGGACAGCATCCCTCGTGCTCCGCACGGGCCGGCTGGGCGTACCGTCCATCCCCTGAGCCGCCTCCATCAACAAATTGCTCGAGACACCTACGTCAATATCTAATCCTCGTACAACCTGGCTGATAGGTGTCTCGCCCGCGGGAACCGGGGTCTGTCCAGCATCAACGGTGGTCGGAGAAGTTCCCATGGACATGCCCAACAAATCGGTCAACGAGCCGGTCGCGGCGGCTAAGTCCCCTGCAGAGGCTGAAAGGCCGTGGACAGCCTCGGATCTCCCCCTCTGAGGTGAAAGTGGAATCTGACCCCCCGATCCTCCATCTCCTCCTCCCCTGGCTGACCCCCCGCATCACGAGCCCTCTCCTCCACCAATCCCACAGAACGTCGCTGCCCCTGCTGCCCCTCGGCAGTGATGTCTTGAGGACCCTCATCACCTCCTAGTGTGGCATCGTCCTCACCCCTGCCGAATTCCATATCCTCGTCATACTCGTTGCTGCCCTCATACCCTCAACCATCGTCGTCATTGTCTGAGTCGATGGATGAGTGTTGTCGCTGTCGAATGGACGGGCTCTGACACTGTGCATCTGCACGACTTGGCCTGCCAACCACCACAGGTCCAGGTGCAGCACTATCTCGCGGTCGAGGCGAAAGACGAGGACGGGTCGAGGTCGACTCTCGCGTTTCACGCCGCATCCGTGTCAGGGGGGCATCATCGTCGGATGACCGGCCCGACTCCACATCCAGGCCATCGGGATCAGACCATGGCTCCTCCTCAATCTCATCCTGCGCGAGAGGGTCGGGCTCAGGGTCGTTCACTGACTCCTCCTCATGTGGCAGAAGAATAGTTGCTCGCCTGCCAAAGTATCTCTCCACGCTCGCAGGTTGTCGAGTGAGGGAATCCTTTCACCCCTTCCGCACCTGCCTGTCCAACTGCTCATCAGAGACCTTGTCCGCGTGGCGGACTCCCGAGTCACGGGCCTCCGGTCTCTCCTCCTGCGTGATGACGTCCTCGTCCTCCCATGGGAGGACGTACCCCACACCCCTCGTGTGGCATCCAAGCAGTCTCAAATTGGTGGATATCTCCACCAAACGAGTGAGCTTGGTAAGACCAAGCTTGTTTCGCCGCTTCACTTGAACGCGCTCGTGGACAACCCAGTTCCTCTCCGCAGGAGAGGCACATGTCCACGTATGCATCAGGCGAACAGCGATACTCTGCAACAAAGGAACACCATCCCCCCACTGCACCCACCATTGAGCAACCGTCGATGTCTCCTTCTCCCCCCTGCAACTCTCCGCATCTCGATCCCCGCTGCGACTGCCATACGCACAATCGCCCTCTCGACTGTGGAACTCCCTCAAAGCTGTCCTCAAATCCTGATACAGCTGCCTGTCCAATCCCGCCTGCTGTCGAAGGTAAATGTCAGCCTCCTCTGCCAACTCCCTCTCCTGATCTGTCCTCCACGCCCCCTCAAAGTATGCAATACTCCTGTGGCGCGGGTTAAGGAGGTGGGCCATGTAATGAGCAGGCTCCAACATATGCCTCCGCCGCGCCTGCAAACCTCTAACAAGGGCGTCCAGCTCTGCACGACTGGTGCGTCGGGTAGGCGCCTGAGCAACCCTCTGGATGACCCTCTCCGACCATGACCACAAGCGTGACATCACACCCCCCCCGCGGTCGAGTCTGCGCAGCAACTGCATCATAGGTGTTATCAACTCCACAATGCCCTCGACGTTGTCCCAAAACGCAGCAGATCTAACCTGCTGCCGCACCCACTGCGACCGAAGCCACAAGCTCCACCTCCACGGTTGTCGCAACCACTCGTCGCTAATCATCATATCCTCAAGCGTGTGACGTCACTCCAACAGCCACTCTAACATCAGGTAGTGTGTGGTGAATCTGGTCTGCACCAGGTAGATGAGCTCTCGACCGCGACCAAAGGTGTCGCTCGAAGCCGACGACGGTGCTGTCTGCCCTTTGGCAGGGTGACGCGCGAAGAATCGCCTGAAAAGGGTGAGGGAAGCTTCGTGTGACCGAATGAAACGCACGACCGCCCTCGCTCTGATGATCGTGTCCTCCCTGTGTCCAACGACACCATCTCACCCGTCCTTGCCAATGTCTGACAACATCAGGTTGCAAACATGCACCGCACATGGAAGCCAAGTAATGCGACTGTATCGAAGATCCTTGTCCTGTGCAAGGAGCTTCACAGCCGCGACGTATGTCCCTGTAGAGTCCGTACAAATAACATTGACATTTTCGACGCCGAAGTCATCGAATACCTTCTTCCACCGCCTCACAACCACACTCGTCGTGTCCTGCTCAGCCCCGTCCCTCTGCACTGTCCTCAACAGGTACGCCCCTGAAGATCCGGCTGCCAGAAAGTTGACTATCTGATCAGCAATGATGGATTTGTGACCGTCCGTGAGGATGGTCGCTCCTGTCGCCGCCACATCTCTCCTGAGCATCGCCAGCATCCCTGCAACGTCCTTGTGCTGCTGGACAATACCATCGCCAGAGATGTGGCCATGGTTCGGCAGAGACGCGTCCAAGTCCTACTGCCATTTAGGATCGAACGAGTCCTCCATGCGCGACTGACGAAACTTCTTCATGGCCCCTGTCGCCGACAGGGGCTGCGAAGAAGTCTTCCTCTTCCTCGACGTCCCAATGCCAGTGACCGCTCTCTTATGTGCCCTCAACGCTCCGCCTCCCTCTCAACATCGATCGGAACCTCCGCAGACCTGTCGTCGTCAGCCCGACAACCATCCTCAACACCTCCACTCTCAGGCGCCTCACGCGCCCCTCCAGCCTGTTCGTCGTCTTCCTCCGCCACTCACTCAGGGTCATCTTCGTCCTCCTCTCCCGAGTCTCCCCATTGTTGGCCAAGTTGTCGTCTCTTGTCTGCCCACCCCTCTCCGCAAGGTACGCCTGTATCTTCTTCCAGTGGCTCTGATCAAAGTGGCAAGCACTCTTGTTCCAGATCTAAGCCAAAACATCCAACGTGGCTTGCGGGGAGTTATTCTTGATTGTGTAGAGCAACGCGCACTTGCTCTGACTGCCGACAAATTCCTGCTCATACAGCTTGCACTTCATGACGTAACCCAACGAACTTCAGCTCCGCCTCTCTCTGCCTGTCTCTGTTCATAAGGATGAACTCTCTGTACGTCCCCGACGCTTGGGCAGCATCTTGAACGACACCCCGACGGACCCCCGCCCCGGGCCTAACTGCTTTCGTGGCACCGCTTGCGCAGTGGCCGCGCTTCCAACTGCCCTGTGGGCCCACCTAGCACGCCGGCGTGTGGGGCCCCCGCTGGCCAGGGCCTAGCGGCTCAGGGCAGTGCTTCAAGCGCGTGCAAAAACGGCCCTCCCCGGCCCACGCGCCGCTTAGGCATACGGGCCGTACGTGCGTACGTACAGAACGTACATGCGTACGTATGCGCCGTTTCGCCCGGTTCCCCTGCTCTCTCTCTCTCTCTCTCTCTCTCTCTCTCTCTCTCTCTCTCTCTCTCTCTCTCTCTCTCTCTCTC